CACAAAATTTTAAATTATGGTCAATCGGTGAATGTTGTAGTGATTACTTCAGGCACCTCTAATATTAGGTTATATGAAGAGAATGAAGAAAATTAAATACACGGTTTACAAATATTGTGATTTAAATATATTAATATAGTTTATATGTTTATCAAGATATCAGCAAATTAGAATTTGCTATAAAAAGGTCGCGAGCACTATATGTATATCTACCCGCCTAACATAAATAAAACCATCTTTCCCCTCTAAATTACACGCACACCCTCTGCAATTACCACCCAGTTGGACCACCAGACTCACAGTTAATATCATACCTTAACTCCTACTCCTCTAACCGTTACTGAAGCTGCGGGCGAAAACGCAGACGATTTTCCACTTGGTGGAACAAAAGCGCTTTTCGTTTTAAGAGTAGTGGGCACGTGCATGCTGTACTCACGTATTGAAATACATTTAGTACATATATTTATATCTGCTTGTACATGCTTAGTACTTATGGATGTATGTACCAGGTATGGAATTTAAAAATTTCAAAATGTGCCTAATGGTCTTCAAAAATAGTGCCGAAAAGAAGATGAAAGTGCCACAAAATTAAAATATCTTTTTTTAAGGTCTTCTAAGAGTAATATATTTTTAAAATACACTGAAGTAATATAATAATTATTAATTAACAAAAATTATTACAGTAAATAACTTTCATAAAGGATTCCTTAGACATATATACATAAATTCATGCTAAAATAACACAGCATTCTAATTACCAAGGGGAAATGTACCGAAATATAGCTAATCTGACGTGTTAAATATATATGCGCAATAATGGCGGTGAGATATTTTGACCAGTTTCACCAGTTGATTAATTTTTTCTTTTGATTTTATATAAAAGTCTAATTCATAATTTAACAAACACCATATATCTATGTATTTATGTATGTACATAAATCGGCATTTCAAACTTTGTACAAAAATTAAAAAAAATCAGCAACAAACTTTTAATTCAGAATTTTTAGAGATTCCAAGTTTATGAATTTACGCATGCGATATACAGTGTGTGCGAAAGTTTTTTAAATGGATGAAAGTATATAACACCGTCAGCAAAAAATATGATCAAAATAAACGGGATTTTGCAGAAACTTGCCCTTTTGTGCTGGGCATTCACAATAGGATTCTGCGTTTTGTCAAAAGCGGCCACATACGGTTGCCAGACGTACTGATTTTATCAGTACAGTACTGATTTCTCAACTCTTGTACTGATTTTATTCATTTCTTCAATCAGTACGCTAATGCCCTGATTTTTCAAAATTTTTACTGAATTTTCCATCCAAACAAAATACTTTAGCATTTTCTTAAGGTTTTTACATAACGTTGGAACTTCCTTAAACTGTACTATAAAAAATAGGAAGAAAATGGTTTAATTATAGTTGACATAGATAATGTTTGATATGTCCAAGAAATTAAAGCAACAAAAAGATCAGTCACTTTATGGGCATATCGCCGGGTCGTTACGTACCAGTTGCGATAATCTGATGGAGCTTAAATTATTAAAAAAAAGGCTGAAATTTGTGTCGAGGGTTAGTTATCTCGAAAATAGCTTTCAGTTTAATGACAATAAATTTGAATATTCGAATAGCTTTTGCCTATAACATACAACTCCTTTTTCTCAATTTACTGACACTGTAAAAGAGTTTTGCATACAAGACATAGTTAGATACTCTTTTTAGCGAATTATTAGTATTGCGTAGTTGAAAAAATTATTTAAGCCATGAGGAAATATAGATGAAGTTCTTAAAAAGTGGTAGAGTTTGAAAAAATATTTAATTTTGTTTTTTTTTTCAATACCAAACTAGAGCGAAGCAACTGAGAGGATCTTTAGAATAAAGTTTGTTTCCTGGCGCAAAGAGAGAAATCGGCTTCTAATTAAAATTTTTGAAAGTAAACTTCAAATTAAAAGTAATTTTAAAATGAAATGTAGAATTCTTTGACTATTTAAACACTGAAAATGGGAATGATCTCATTATTGCTATTCAAAAATGTCACAAATATAAAATTATTTATTGGCTCCTGTGTATAATGATGTTTACACTCATGTTAAAATGAATAACACTTTTATTTTTTATGAACTATATTTTATTTATTTACCAAAATATTGTTAAAAACAAGAACTCTGGCGTTTTAAATTTGTGTCTGTTACTTACATTCATAATTTTGCTTTGAATAAAAACGTACTGAGAAGTACTGATTTTTTTAGAATGAAAAAGTCTTACGTACTGATTTCGCGCATAAAAAATCTGGCAACCCTACGGCCACAGAATATATCTCACTGCCCTTATTTTAATTTTTTCATTTTGTAATTTTTTAATATATAATGTAGTATGTGATTATTTGTTATATAGTATATTGGCATATTATGCTAAGTTTCTATAATTTATGATTGTGGCAAAACAGGATGAATTGTGCCGAAAGTACCTCCGAGAATGAAAATGCCAAAAATGGCAGTATTGTGCCTACTTTTCCATCACTGGTATGTACCCATAATTTAATGTAGGTATAAACGTACATTCTTCAGTTTAAGATAGACTTTACATTTAAAGAACTTTTCTATTTAAATTAACAAAATAAAATCTTTATAGGAGCTGTTTTCATTACAAAGGCTTGCTCAAGCAGCAGCGGTATTGTACCGCGCGGTATAGGTTAGGTTAGGTTGATGTGGCAGTCGGTTCAATTTACCAACTCACTTAGACCTTTTGAAGGTCCATTGTGGTACCACTGCAGAACACGGGAACCTCGGTGACTATTCTTCAGAGAACCAATTTGAGGCTCTTATAAAGCGTAGAATCGGTTTTATTCCTACGCGTGATAGTTCCGTAAGAGAGCTAAAGAAGGGCCTGCCTAAAAAGCTTGCTCTCCTCTTGGCCAAAGCTGGGCAGCTGCAGAGGAAGTGCTCTACGGTTTCTTCCTCTTCCTCATCTCTGCAACTTCTGCAATATTCGTGGGAGAAAATTCCTAGTCTTGAAGAGTGCCTGCCAAATAGCCAGTGACCGGTTACACAAGCCGTGACCTTCGCAATGTCCTCTCTTGAGAGGCACAGCAACTCTTTCGTCTTTTTCTTTTCTATTTGCGGCCAAAGCAGCCTGGTTGTTCTACATGTGCCCTCCTCTAGCCATGACCTGTTGGCCTCTTGGATCATGCTATTTCGAAGTTCTAATTTGCAGGTTGCCATGGGTATCCCAATAGTGCCCCTGTTTTCACATAGGGGTAGATTCGTACCTTTCCTGGCTAGCTCATCAGCCCTGCAGTTTCCTTCAATATCTCTGTGTCCCGGAACCCATATGAGGCTGACCTTGAACACGGCGCTAATATCGTTTAGAGCTGCGAGGCATTCCTGCGCAACCTTCGACCTCAGCATTACCATGTTCATTGATTTAATGGCCGCCTGGCTGTCCGAGAAAATATTGATCGTAGTCTTCGTTACGGCATGTGTACTAAGGTACACAGCCACCTCTTTTATGGCTAAAACTTCTGCCTGATAGACACTGCAGTGGTCCGGAATTCGGACGGATAGTTCCAGTCCTAGTTCCTTAGAGAAAACTCCGTAGCCAACCCTATTGTCTAGCTTGGATCCATCTGTGTAAAAATTCAATTCCCCCCCGTCTCCGTGGTCTTGGCGTTTGCCATTCTCCTCTAGACGGGATGCTCGTCTTAAAGAGCCTATTGAAGATTGGTTTGGGAGCGGAGTAGTCGACTTCTTGGTTGTAACTACCCAGAGTGTGAAGTATGGAAGCGTGACCAAACCGCCGATCCTTCCATAGCACCATACTTCTTAGTTTGAGCGCTGAATCGGCGGCCGCGTATTTTCCCACTAGGTTTATTGCGGGTAAATTGGTAATCACCTCCAGCGCCTTATTTGGGGTGGTCCTTAAGGCACCCGAAATGCATAGAAACGCTGTTCTTTGGACCTTACTCAATAGTTTTAGGTAACTTGCCTTTTGAGTTGCTGGCCACCATACAAGTATTCCATATAAGAGTATTGGCCTGACCACCGAGGTGTATAGCCAGTGTGTAATACGAGGTGTTAGCCCCCACTTGATTCCGACCGCTTTTTTGCATGTGTATAATGCAACGTTGGCCTTCCTTACTCTTTCCTCTATATTAGGTTTCCACGTTAGTTTCCTGTCTAATATGAGTCCTAGATACTTAACATTCTCCTTCAAGGATATCTCCACACCCAAAAAGATTAGCGGGGAGACCATGGGAGGCCTGTGTTTCCTTGTGAAGAGAATTGCTTCGGTTTTCTCGGGGTTTACTCCGAGTCCCCTACTCTCTGTCCAGTTCCTAAGCGTGGCCATGTTAGAGCGCAGAATCTCCATTAGGGTATTTGGGTATTTGCCTTTGACGGCAATTGCCAGATCGTCAGCATATGCTGTGACATGGCAACCCCCCCTCTCTAGTGCCACCAGCAGAGAGTTCACCGCCAGATTCCAGAGAAGAGGGGAGAGAACCCCTCCCTGGGGAGTGCCTCTACAGACCTTTCTGCTTATTGTGGTGTTGCCGAGCTTAGCGGTTACCGTCCTGCTGACAAGTATAGACTCGATCAGCACCGCCACATTCTGGTCAACTCCAAGCTCTTCTAAGGCACCCGTTATGGCGCTTGCGTTAATATTGTTGAAGGCGCCTTCTATGTCTACAAAGGCAACCAGAGCGTACTCTTTGTCGAATAAACTTTTTTCCACCAACCCAACGAGCGAGTGCAAGGCGGTTTCCGTGGATTTGCCTTTCGTATAGGCATGCTGCGCTGGGGAGAGCCTACTTGTTGGTATCACGCCCCGTACATAATCATCCACTATCCTCTCTAAAATTTTGAGAAGGAAAGACGTAAGACTGATGGGTCTGAAGTCCTTAGGGTTGGTATGAGAGGACCTGCCCGCCTTGGGTATAAATGAGACTTTTGTCTCTCTCCAGCCTAGCGGGATGTAGCCCATGTTAAGACAGCTTCTTATAATAACCACAATGAACGGAGAGATAGTACGCCGTGATTGCTGTAGCTCTACCGGGTGTATTCCATCAAGTCCCGGTGACTTGTAAGGACCAAAAGTCTTAATAGCCCATTCAATTTTTTCGTTTGTAATCAGTCGGTTTCCCAGATCAGATAGCCCCCCTTCATTCTGGGGGTCATTAGGTTCCACCGGCTTATTTCCAGGGAAGTGTGTGTCCAGGAGGAGACCTAAAGATTCCTCGCTCGTCGTAGTCCATGAGTTCCCTTGACCCTTGAGATAGCCAAGGTTGCATGGCGACTTTGCAAGAATTCTTCTTAATCTGGCCGCTTCCGTGGTTTCCTCAATTCCCTTGCAGTAACTTTGCCAGGATTTACGTTTCGCATTTCTAACTGCTTTTTTGTATACTTTCAGATCAGCCTTGTAGGCTTCCCAGTCCTCTGCTGCTCTCGTGGCTTTGGCCTTGTTGAACATTGACCTATTAGATTCACGTAACAAGGATAATTGTTTCGACCACCAAGGTGGTTTGCTTTTTCCCCTGTATCGAACAACCGGGCACCCGGCTGACAAAGAACTATTCATGGCTTTAGTAACCTGATTAACCAACCCCTCCAGCTCCACCTGCGTGGCGGGGTCTCGGGGAGGTATCTTTGGCAGTAAAGTCCTTAATTTATTATTGTAAACCCCCCAGTCGGTATTTCTAACATTTCTGAACTCCCTTACTTGGGGGGTCTTAAGATCTATTTCGAATTCAATATAACGATGGTCAGAATACGATTTTTCCTTCAGTACTCTCCATCTCTTGATTTTATGGGCAAACATGTCTGAAGCCAGGGTTATGTCCAAAACTTCCTCTCTACTCTTTGTTATGAAGGTCGGCTCTGAGCCTAAATTCAAGACACTAAGTTTGTTCCCTAGAATGAAGTCTAGTAACGACTCACCTCTAGCATTCGTGTCCGTACTCCCCCACATCAAGTTGTGGGCATTAGCGTCGCAGGAGGCAACCAGTGGTTTGTTCTTGAAGGCTGCTTCCTCGGCCAAGGTCCGAAACCCGTCTGGTGGCACGTCCTTGTCATGGGCCATGTAGGCAGAGGCTACCCAAAAGCTGGTTTTGTCCAGCTCAATGCTTGCCACTACCAGATCGCCGTCACTAAGCTGTGGGAGCAGGAAGATGTTTAAGTTGTTCCTTGCTAATATGCAAGCTCGAGTCTTACCTGCATTTTGTGCGGCAATAAGCTTAAAGCCCTTCATCCCAAGTCCGCAGATTTTATTGCCGTGTATCCACGGTTCCTGGATGAGGGCAACGTCGAGTCCACCGGCAGCCAGGCGGACCTCAAGGTTCGCAGACGCGAGTTTAGAGTGGTGGAGGTTGATCTGGATCAGCTTCATCAGAATCTGTCCGTTTTACCTCCACCATCGTGACATCCACGTCCGCCTCTTCGATCTCCTCACCCTCGGTGTCATCGGCGAGGAGGTCTTCTTCATAAAATAATGGCCCCAATCCGGATAGCCTCTCCGAGTCAGATGAGCATTGGCTGCTGGGCAACCCTTCTTCACCACCGCTGCGCAGGCCGGACTTGTCGCTCTCCTCACTAAGGTCCAAGCTCGGCTCGTCGCTGCGGTAGATTCGAATGGTTGCGTCATTGAACCCGAATCTCACCGTCCAATCCTTTTGCGCCAGTGGGGCTAGCGATTCGGCGTTGAGGATCAGCAACACCTGCCTTCTATTCTCTACTGGCTCCTCTATCTTCCCTACCCTCCAATTATGACTTGGCAGGTCCTTATTACAGGATCTGAAGATCCGCTCAATTCTTTCAGGCTCGGCGGGTCTGGCCGGAATCCAAACTCGAGCCCTCGGTCTGCTAGGAATGTCTTCCTTGTTGACGGCCTCGAGCTTGGCTCCCGGCCAAACTTCACCTACCTTACTAACGGCCAACCTATAGAGCTGGGCTGACCTATGGTCCTCGCAGGCGATGAGTTTAGCTCTACCCTGATACCATCCGGAATCATGGCAGAGAGGAGGAGGTCCAGGATTTTCGTCTAGGACTTGGAGGTAGATTTCGGCAATCGCTTCCTCCACCAACCTCCACTTCTCTTTGGGGATAGTCCCTTCCTCCTCCCCTCTGTCGATGATTGCCAGTACCTCACCGCCTCCCTTCACTACGTCCCTGAAAGTGGGGTATTTATGGCCACCTGTTCTTGGTCTTTTGGTGACCCCACCCCCTGCCTGTTCAGCAGACCGCTGCCTTTTTGGAGCAGCGCCTGCCGGTCTTCCCAAGCTGGCTACTACTCCCCTCGCCCACTCCAGTGACCTAACCTGCTCCTCCGTGAGCTGCTCTGTCGGCAGGTCCCCGATCTTGTTCACGACCCTCATGGCCGCCTTTTTGTCATAATAGGCCTGCTTCGAGGGGCGGACATGTTTAGCCGACCCCCCCAGGCCTGTGTTTGCAACTTTCCTCGAGCTGCTCGGAATGTCGGCGGCATCCTGCCGGGTTATTTTCGAAGCAGGTGCCGTACCCCGCCCTTGGGTTGAGGTGTGTGTGGATTGGGGTCTGACTTCCCTAGGCGGAGCTGACGCTGCAGCTCCAGCCATGAATCGGTTGGAGACCGGTTTTCCCAAGCCTCCACTCCCCCCTCTGCCTCCTATGGTACTCGTACCAGGACCAGCCCTACCGCTTAAGCCCCCTCTAACTCCTGTCACTGGCGGTCCGATAAATGCCCTGCTCGAGGCTGTAGCATTAATTGGAGCCACCCCTGTCGGTTTTTTTGGAGGGCCGTCCTCCTTGTTGTGTTGTTTTTTTTTGTAATAAATTGCGCTCATAATTTTGGTCCCACGAGTGTCAGACAATGGAGGTCCGCCCGCACAGAGGTCCGTGTGCGCAGGTAAGGCTTGATAGAACCGGAGGTCGCCAGGTATCCGGAGCACTCCGTTCGAGACTGGGCTATTTGTTAATCTGGGTCCCCAGCCAGGCTGAACATCAGCACGGGTCGTCTAACACCTTGTTCCAACCCAGAGCTTTTTTAGAGAGGTTTGCTCCTCCATTACCTCCATAGGCCACGATCAAAAACCATTTCCATATAACTTAGCTATTGAGGAGCTTAAGCACATAGCACTGATCTCTGATCTTAGCTGGACACCATTCTGACATCGTACAGAACCTAAATTGTAGTGGCCATTACCAGTCGGCACCCTCGTGGAGGGTTCAGCCGGAGGATTTTCGCCGACCACCGCGCGGTATAACTCCGTAGGCATGTTTGCTCATAGAGCGCTACTGCCATGCATATAACAGAGAGTAAGTAACGTCGAATGGCTAAAAATTACGGTTGATTTTTTAGTATTTTAAAAAAGCTCGAAATTTGTACGAAAGTTTGTTTAATTTTTTGAATATTGCACAAAGTTGGATGCTTGGATTTACACGGGGTTTGTTAAAGAATGAACTATATTTTTATAAAAAAAATAACCAAAATTAAATAAGAACAAAAATAATACGTTAAAACTTGGGGCAAAGTGACCACTGTATGTATCTGTGTTCGTATGGAATAGTAGCTTATGTCGAAAGGCTGGCTTTAGTATGATGCGGCATTCACTTTATTCTTTAAACAAGAAGGAATTTTTTGATGAGACTTAATAAGAATAGTCTTGCAGTATCGGAACTATTGCACATTTATTTGCCAAAAGTTCTTCAACGGCTCTGCGCCAGTGAGTCATTTGCAATCGTATGCTACGAATGCCGCATTATACTAAAGCCAGCCTTTCGACATAAGCTACTATTCCATACGAACACAGATATGTTTCCACAGAATGCTATATATGTATGTATTCAAGTAATAATAGATATATTTCGTTAGAAAACTTTCTTATATAAGTAGATACAGAACAAACATAAAACCTATATATACATATACATATGTATATATTAGGCCGGGTCGATTTGTGGGGAGGCAAAAAAATCGCCCATTGCTCTGTGAAAATCATATTCTAGGGACAAAATAAGAAACTTTGCCGAAGGAACCATACCTCTAAAACGAATTCTGATGTCCCCCAATTTGGGTAGGGGCAAATTTTGAAAAATCCAACAACCAAATTAAATGGTTTTTTCAACGATAAAAATATATCACTGGATGCATTAATTGGAATATGCACTGACGGTGAGCCAACAAACACTGGCCCACACGGTGGAATTATACGATGATTCGAATTGCTGTTAAAAAGACCATTGCATTGGTTCGTTTGCCTTCTACACTTCAACGAACTTCCGTTTCGGCATTTGTTTGAAGCTTTGGATAAATCAACCAGCACTGGACCAAGATCGGCAACCGGAAAACTGAGCCGTCAAATCGAAACGTGTGTAACTCTTCCGGTAAGTTATTGCTATCACTCATTTATTATAATTGTCAACCATTTTTAATTATTTTATTATTATATATTTTCAGGTGGTGGACGGCTTCCAGAAAATTGAGTTGCAAAATATGCCCCCTGCTCCAGAAAAAATTGAGTTTTCCACCGATTCGAAGTACTTATACGACATGGCCCATGCAATTTCTAGCGGCGTGGTTCCGGTGGATCTGGCTAACATCAAACCAGGGAAAATTGTACATTCTCGGTGGCTCACCAAGGCCGCTAGATTATTGCGATTATATGTGACAACGGAAAATCCAGATGCAAATTTAAGAATTCTGGTTATTTTTCAAGTTCATTGGTTGGTCACGATTTCTAGAACCTCGTTTACGCAAAATTGTCAATCAAGTAATTAAAGATAATTCATATTATGCGCATTCGGAAAATATCTTGTTATCAATGTTGTTTGATGATAGCAAAGAAAAGCGCGACTGTGCCATCAAGAAAATTCTACGCTATCGAACCGATGTTGACGAGCCAATGGAACTTAGAGTTTATAAAAAACCAGATATAAACTTTAATTGCACAAGTTATACGGAAATGATCAATTTGAATGATATAAATATCGTATTTGAACCACCATTCACGCGAAGCATTCCGTACGATACATTGAAAGAATATATAAATCAAGATGATCACCGTTTAATGATCCAAAAATTCCATCACACATACAAGGAACGGAATGACATGTTCAATTGCTAGCTAGCGTTTCCAAACGGGTTATACCGGAAAATGTAGAGGCTGTTATGGCGACGACATTAGAGAGCCGTGCGAAATTGCCCAGACTTGAAAGTAAAAAAGACTTCAAACAATAATTTTTTTTTAGTTTCTTTTCTATAACTTACTTAAATTAATTTTTTCATTTACATATGTTCTGACTAAATAAATTTCTTAAGAGAAAAAATAGATATTATTATAAATAAATAATAAATATTATTATAAATAAATAAATAAAAATAAAGAAAAAACATAGCCATTTAGCTGATTTTTTCATGTAAAGGCCAAAAATGGTGATTTTTTGAAATGATTGTATGGGGAACCCCCAGGGGTGTTCCAGGGGGTGTGCCACTGGCATGGGTGGATCGGCCGTCCAAAGTTAGTGGGGGTCGTTCATACATTTGGACTCGATTGGAGCACTCTAAATGGGTCAAAGTGGGATTTTTCAAAAATTGCCCCTACCCAAAAGTTCGACCCAAATTGGGGGACATCAGAATTCGTTTTAGAGGTATGGTTCCTTCGGCAAAGTTTCTTATTTTGATCCCTAGAATACGATTTTCACAGAGCAATGAGTGATTTTTAAATCGACCCGCCCTAGTATATATACTATGCACTTATCTTATACTATGTTCTGGCTGACAACGAAAACACTTTGAAAACGAGTTTTGATATTGTGGGCTGAAGGCTGTTCACACCGGCTGTTGGTGTTTTCGTTGACATTTGTTACATCATTTGTTTACAGTTTTTCTACAAAAAAACAAAACCAAAATACTTTTCTTTCATTTCTTCTCATTAAAATTTTTTTTCTTTTATTGTTATTTTAATTTGGCCAGCCAATTAACTATAAATCCGAACTGGCATAATAAAGATGATAAAACATGGCTTCCACTTCCATGAATAATCGAAAAAACTAGTGCATACACCGATTGGAATGAGTGGAACGTGAGTTTTCAAGTAGTTTTCAGCGGATACTGGTTTTCGTTTGACAGATTGTACATGGACGAAAACACAAGTTTTAGGTCGGAAACCAGTTTTAGCGACGAAAACATGTTTTCGATGTCGGTCAGAACATGGTATTAGCTTTAGAATTTAACGTTTTCGCAGCTCCCTCTGTTTATCTTCATCTAACAGCTCATTTACAGCGTATTCACTACTGCTAGTGTTAGCAGAGCGTAATTTGCCGGCGCAAT